TCATGAACCAGGACATGATTGTCCGCAAGCGGCTATCTCCCAGACCAATCGAGATGGCCACCAATGTTGGAAGCACCAAGCTTACCCAAGAAGGTGACACACCTTACGGCAATGGTTATTCCAATCCAGGAGGCATCGCCAATATCAACGCTTTGTCTCTTGTTGTGGATGACTGCGTCAGGGCACAGGATGGATCCTATGTCCTCATGGACTCAAGAGTCGACGACGCCATCTACCACTACCGCCCAACTGGGATCCATACCAGGTATGGAAGGACCGCCAAAGGTCTGTATGGCGTGCTGATTGAGCAAGCCCTACTGGATCACATGGCCCAACTCAACCAGTTTTCACCGGAGTTCCAGAATTTGGTCCAGACGGTGGAGGGCAACCTCGAAGGCTTTACCAAAAAGCAAGCCAAGGGTGCATTTCTCGCAAGAAATCTGTACCACAACCTCCAGCGCCCATCTTTGGAGGGCTACCGCAACATGATCAGGACTGGTCAAATTCGCGACTGTCCCGTCAAGCTGGAGGACATCGATCGCGCCGAATTAATTTTTGGCAGCGACATGGGCAAGGCCAAGGGCTCTACTACACGCAGACGCCCACCACCAGTGACCGACAGTATTCATACTGTTCCGGATGAGCTGGTGGCACCACACAGGTTCTTGACCGGATGCATGGATGTGTTTTATGTCTGTGAGATTGCTTTTCTAGCATTCACCGACTTGCAAATCCGACACCGCGAATCAGCCTACCTGACCAACAGGAAGGGAAAATCATTCTATGCCGCCATTGACAAGATTTTTGATCGGTATGGGAATAATGACTTCAAGATCCAAGAAATCCAGTGCGACCTGGAGTTCAAGAGCCTGATGGATCCTGTCAAGAACGACATGGAGCTCAAGCTCAACCATGGAGCGGCTCAGACTCACAGTGGTCCCGCCGAGCGCAACATCCGAACCTTGAAGGAGCGCATCCGCGCAGCCTGGCATTCAACACCATTCATGGTGATGCCAAAGGTGATGATTGTGGAATTGGTGTACGATGTTAACTGTAAACTCAACCTCTTCCCCGCGCTTGATGGAATCTCCAAAGTGTATCCTCCCAGGCAGATCTTGGAGGGTCGGACCACCAGCTACAAAGATATTCAGTACACTTTTGGGAGCTATTGTCTCGCTTCCAACGAACCAGACAAGCTCAATTCCATGGAGCCCCGGCGATTGGATTGCATCTATCTCCGTCCATTGATGGACAACCACCAAGGTGGACACAGTGTGATGGACCTCGTCACCTTTGAGGTGATCACGCGACAGCATGTCCGCATCTTGCCGATGCCTTGCTCAGTCATTGATGCTGTCGAAAAGAAGGCTTACGGTGAGGGTAAGAAGCCACTAATCTTTCACAACCGTGACTTTGTGGAATTTTTACCTGTAGGTTTGCCTGCAGGAGTGGATGGTGTCAATGGAAATGAGAGCTACCTCCAAGTCTATGGAGACTCTTCGGACGAGATTCAGTGGAATCCACGGAATCAGATGAAGATTCTGAGGATGGGAACGCCCCAGGGCTAGTACCAAGGGCATCCAAACAGTATGCCACAGACATTGACTCCGATGAAGAAGGAGAAGAGGGATTCCAAGGAATCCCAACAAGCACAAGTCCAGACAACCCTACAGTTGAAGAGACGGCACCAGCAGTGGATACCAATGATGGAAACCTCGCTGGACCAGCCAAGGCTTCCAAGCTTCCTCGAGTTGGAATTAGACGCTCAGCTCGGATTGCCACAGCCGAAGCAAAGAAAGGAGTCACCTTCGTCCAAGATGACGAAGCGAAGCAACCACTACTGTATGAGACAGAGACAAGCAAGCACCTAGCTTTGTTCATGGACTCCTGCAATCACAGGAGTGCCACAGCAGAAGTCAAGGACGAGAGCAGCCATGCCAACAGCAATCTTCTACCCAAGGGTCTGAAAGTGTGGGGCAACAAAGCCAGAAAGGCGGCGCTCAAAGAGATGGACCAGCTACACAGCAGAGTCTGTTTCAGTCCAGTCGACCCAAACAAATGCAGTGATTCTGAATTGAAAAAGGCACAAATGGCACTCATGTTTGTGAGTGAGAAAAGGGATGGGACGGTCAAGCCCGTGCAGTCATACAATGGGAAACCTACAAGGGTTACCATCAGAAAGAAGATGCCAGAAGCCCAACAGTTTCACTTGAGGGTTTGATGTATCCATGTGTGTCGATGCATCCGAAGATAGGGATGTGATGTCCTGGATGTTCCAATGCGTTCATCCAAACCCCAATGCCAAAAGTCAAACAAGGGAAGACAGGGTCTCATGATCTTGAGGGAACCCTTGCAGACTTACTTGTCGAATTGATCCTGACACATATGCCTCTTTCCTGACATACAAGAAGGGACGACCAGTCCTCTATGTCGTTGTGGAAAGAGCCATCTACGGAATGGTTTTGGCAGCACTGCTCTGGTACAAGCTCTTCAGGAGCGACTGGAGGGAATCGGATTCGTATTCAACCAGTATGATCCGTGTGTTGCCAACAGGATGATTGAAGGATATCAGCAGACGATACGCTTCCATGTGGACGACCTGATGTCGAGCCACCGGATGAAACTGGTAAACAATCGAACCCTGGAGTGGTTTAATGACAAGTACGGTACCTATGGAGCCGTGAAGGCAACCCGTGGTCCCAAGCATGACTACTTGGGGATGACAGTGGACTTCTCAGACCCAGGAAAGGTGATCATCGATATGATAGATTACATCAAGAAGATGGTATCCGAATTCCCAGTGGACTTCGAGCAGATGAGAAAGGTGTCCAGTGCAGCTCCTGCTGACCTCTTCAGCTCTGGTGATGGCACCATCCTGAATGACAAGAACAGGGAAACCTATCATACCTTTGCAGCCAAGCTGCTGTTCCTGTGCAAACGTGCTCGACCAGATGTGCAAACTCTGACAACTGTCTTATGCACTCGTGTCAGAAGCCCAACATCTGATGATTGGGACAAGTTGACTCAAGGATTGAAGTTCCTCGAACAAACAGTGGAGGACAAGCTGGTTCTCCATGTTGATGATATCCGTGTCATCACTTGGTGGGTGGATGCATCATTTGCAGTCCATCCTGATTACCGTTCCCATACAGGAGGAGTCATGTCCTTTGGCAGTGGTGCGGTGCTGTCTGTGTCTGCGAAACAGAAATTGAATTCGAGGAGCAGCACGGAAGCGGAATTGATTGGAGCTGACGATGTCATGTCGCCCATGTTGTGGGCAAAGTTGTTCCTTGAAGAGCAGGGGATTGTTGTGAAGGACAACATCCTCATGCAGGACAACAAAAGCACGATCATTCTTGCAGAGAATGGCAAAGGCAGTTCGGGCAAAAGAACTCGGGCCATCAACATTCGTTTCTTTTTTTTATTCATGACCAGATTGGAAAAGGCAACCTTAGAGTTGTGTACTGCCCAACCTTGGAAATGCGTGGAGATTTTTTCACGAAGCCCCTTCAGGGCAAGCTCCTCCACGAGCACAGGGCTTTCATCATGGGGCATCCACCCCTTGTTTGATTGCCTAATTTATTTTATTCGTTCCACGGTAGCCACTTAGGGCACCGTGCAGGAGTGTGTTGGAGGAAATATACCTGACACCTCTTTACTATTGACTCGTGTATTAAACATCTAGTCCGGTTCGCATGCATATTCATGATGCAAGGAACCAAGGGAGTTTTAGGTCTAAAGTGTTACGGGGGTCCTTATATCCAATTCAATCACAAGAATTGCTATGCACCACCAGAAAAACCTCACTTTTGCTTTACAGCTTAATCCAAAACCAAATTACCCCTCAATAAGCTGCAGTTTTACTAGCTAACACTCTTGCTCCTTTCCCTCAGTACTATCGTCCACCTCCTCGAGGATGTTGCGACCCTTACCGAATGTGGCTGCAACACAGGAATGGTCGGCCACCTCATGATCCAATGTGTCGATACAAATTTTTTGTCAATGGCTACACGTATTGTTAGGAGAGTCGGTGCAAGTGGAGGAGAGGAAAGAAATGAAACAGAAACAAATTAGGTAGATGTAACGTAAAAAATTTAAACTATGTGTGATGACACTTCTTATACCGTTTGAGGAGGGGATGGGGCTGGGGATGTGGTGTTTTGTTAGAGATATTCATGTGTTCTTGCCATCGCCCCCATCTCTCTATCTCCCCTGTGTCATTCAGACATCAATTCATTTATGTGGATGACTCATGCGCACCTCGAGCGCGGAACCTGGAATCTAATTTCTCTCTTTTTCTTCTCCTCCTCTTCTGCCCCCCTGGCCTGTGCCTAACCCCCCCTAAAAGTTATCATGACAAGCCAGCTGTAGTTAGGCAGCTATAATGTAACAGCGCGCATACATGTCACGGAGAACTTAATAGTAAGGTATTTCGATATTTTGTTTTTATGTTTCGACAATTTGCGTTTTATACAAGATGGTTTCATTGTTACGGCGCGCGCAAAACCAAGTTGGTACCAGGTACGAATTGAGAATATTCTCACTGTCGGTTCGATTCGATTCTACTAGCTACCCAACCGTACGGTATTGGTGCCGAATATGGGCCACGTTGGGGAAAGAAAGGGGGCTGAAAGCTGGGACCGTACTAGCTAGTACGGCTGTAGGGCTGTACAGGTGGCAAAACGAGGGGCATGGGGTGCGTTTGCTGGACAGGGCAGCAAACGCGGGAGTTGATAGATTTAGCAGCAACCTGGTGGAGCACCTTGCAAGGTTTACGTTTTTAATTCTATTAGTTTCACCAGAGCCTTTGCTTAATTCCTCTCGACTAGTCTAAGTACCTTTGAGGATTTTCATGATCTCTTGCAACCAAAAAGCCGCCAGATGCTCATCGGTACTAGCTAGCCAGACCAGTGCCTTGTGCCGTTCGAAGCTGCCCTTCTCAGTAGGACTTCTGTTCTCACTTACTTCTCACTCCTCCGAGATTAAAGTGAACCTGAACCATGGTGTTTTTGAAAATGAATTTGTTGGTGCTTTTGGCGGCAATTGCCGGAATTTCCAGTGCCGTTGATGTCTCCACCGTGACCGACAAGTTGAATGTAAGCTCACTAGCTAGACCTTTGCTTCAAGTCCATTGCGATGAATCGGATCTGTGTCTGCACTGTCTCATGCCTCCTCTCGTTGATGCTCTCCCTCTCATTCCTATGATTGATTTCGACAGTTGCGTGGAGGGCTGCCGGATCGAAAGTTGGAAACAGACTTCTCGACGGCGTACGGCGGCCCAGGCACCGAAAAAATCCAGAATCAGCTTGTGAAAGGCCCCGATGGGAAAGAGGTCACTCTCCAAGAGATGGAACAAACTGTCGGAGCAGCGTTCTTTGCAGGTAAAGGATACACTCTGTACGCAAAGGTGAACGATAAACCAACTCTGGTTGAGTGTAATAGAAACTGGGGTCCAGTCCAAGGGAAGATCGGGAACGGGGACCTGTGCTGGGTCGATGGAAACCCCAATTGCGAGCAATTGTGGAAAGCGACATTCTTTGAAGATCCTGATGGTGGAGACAATGTACAGAAAGAGCTGCCCAAAGACAAGCAGACTCCATGTTTCAATGACGTTATCAAGGGCCCCAAAGGTTTCAAGATCGACGGAAACCCAAACGACGGTGCGCAAAAGAATGCTCTCTATTCTTTCCAAGAGGCGCCGAAAAGCCAGAACAATTTGAAATGCGAGCTCACTGGCAAGGGAAACAAGGACACCCCAAAACTTGGGGTTGGCCTTGACGGGTTATCCGCTTCCAGCGCCCAGTGGTCGACAGTAATCGCACCCCAAAATGTGGGTATTGAACCAGAGAAGACGCCGAAGATTTTTGCCGCAATCATGAAAGGAGGGAACGGGGCTTTGGTTCACTTTGGAGACAGCTTTGCCGGCAAGCCTCTAAATTCACCCCAGGAGCAGTTCCAGTTCGGAAAATACTACGATACCAGCCACGTCGAGATTTGCTACGATGGGGAATCAGGTAAAACCACAGGTGAGACCCCAGGGCCTGCTCTCGCTGACATGTTCGCAAGTAAAGATGAACTAACACCTCATCCATCTTTCAGGAGACCCTCACTTCAAAAGGTGGGATGGGAGCCATTACGAGTTTCATGGTGCGTTTGTTGACGTGGCGTATCAACAGATTGTCGCCCATGAGTTTCCCCATTCGCTGCTCCATTTGACACTCAATTTTGTGCACCAATTACTTGTATGCACGTATACAGGTGGCTGTGATGTCCTCTTGTTGAGGAACCCCGGTAAGCGCCTTTTGTGCCACAACGAAACTGCAGTCCTTGGTTGTCTTTTGCTCAGAGTTCCCATTCCTGCTTCAATTGACCACAGACTTCAACAATGGCCAGGGGATGCACATCTACGCACGTACCAAGATTGTGAGGTGGTGAGTATGGTATCTGTTGTCAACGATTGTTGTTTGACGGTTGGATTGTCCTTGGTGACATGCCAGTCCCCTCACACTTTCTTGCTTCTGTTCTCGATCAGGTGGTCATACATTGATCAGGTACGTTATCGGGGTGGAAAACAACACCAGTTCATGTGTCGACGCAAGGACAACTAACATGAGTTGTCGCTCGAGTAGGTGGTGGTGAAGATTGGTGATGATGTCTTTGAGGTGCATGGTAAGAACACAAGGGTCCTGACTGCCTCCAGTTGGAACCGGATGCCATTGCCCAAATGAAAGGCACTTATCCTCTTCATACTCCTTGTTCTTTCTCAGGTGGAGTTCAAGAACCTCTACCGTACTGGATCAATGGTGAGCAGGGAGCTTTCCGCAGGAGCAAAGCGTTCCCGTTCACCGTGGGAGGTTTCTCGGGACGTTTCCGACACAGAAAAGACAGCGTGGTTCACTACAAGCTCTTCCTCCCCAATGACCAGGTGCTCCGCATCCAGTCCAACAAGTTCATGCTGGGAGTCGAATTCGAAAACGCGCTCTCTGACGACTTTGGCACCAGCCAAGGTTTGCTCGGAAGGTTTGGAGATGGTGCAATGTTGGGTCGCAATGGCACTGTCTTTGACCTATCGGATACCAATGCTTTTGGCCAAGAATGGCAGGTTTTGGAGACAGAGCCCATGCTTTTTTCGGAACGTCAAGGTCCCCAGCACCCTCAGAAGTGTGAAATGCCTGATTCAGATAAACCTTCTTCCGTGGCACGCCGTTTGCTTGGCTCCTCCACTAGCCGCCAGAAAGCCGAAGCCGCCTGTGCCAAAGTAGACCCCGATTCGTTCAACGACTGCGTTTCGGATGTTCTCACCCTGGATGACGTTGATCTCGCCGCGGGATACGTGCAGTAAGAATGCGACTTACGCACAGAAGCATCATTTTGCGCTCTTGAGCAGGTTCTGGAAGAGGGATGATCGCTCTCATGAGGAGCCTTATCGATGGGTTGGTTCGTACCGCCAACCAATCGGTTCAGCTCGAGCGCAGACTATGCGTAGTTGTAGCGATTAGTAGATTTCTAGAAAGTTTAAACGAAGTATCATACATGTAACAACGATGGCCGACTTCTGGTAGTGCCAAAACCAGGCAGATGGCTCAAGCGTGTTCTGGAGTTTTACTTTTGCGCCTCTGACACAGTTGTTCTAGCTTGTAGTACGTGCATGCTGATGTTGCCTCGCAAGCTACGATATATACGCAGATGACATGTACTTGTTACACTACATTGTGGTATGTATCTATGGGGCCCGCCCGCATGGTGTTTTGCTGTTGCTGCCATGCCAGTCTGCCCTACGTCTGTTTACCCCGTTTCTGTCTTGTCGGCTTTCGGCGGTGGTCCCTTCAAGAGGGCCTGCTCCCAATCCGTGTCCGGATTGATGGCGTCCAAGAGTGGCAGAATATCCAATCCATCTTCCACTTTGAGTTGATAGAGTACCTGCCACCACAAGTGTCGTGTCGATTTGGGCTGCGTGTCCATGTCGTCCCAAATATCCTCGGGTACTTTCATGGTCCACGCTTTGCCCTTGCCGGAAAAGTGTTCAAAGTCCGAATAGGGTGGAACGCAGCCGGGCCAATTCCCCTTGCGTTTTCCCGTCCATTTGCCACATTCCGAAGGGAAAATGTTGTATTGAACTTTGGAATAGTTGACGAGGGGACTTTGCAATCTGGATGTGACGGGAATGACCTGTTCGGCAATGGTAGTTCCATTATTGGGTGCTTTCCCCCAATGAACAATTTTGCGGGCAAATAGTTGTGTGACATTTTGAATTTCGTATTTGGTCATATGATAGTGCAGTCCTTGATCGCACCAAGCTCCCAACTGATAGCATATCATGATGATGGTTGTTGCGTGGTTGCAGGACAAGGCAAGAATTGGGGAAGAGAATGTGAGGACCATCAACCCATACAAAAAGAGCCACCGTTTTTGCGTTTGTGAACTTACAAAATCCCATCGTGTTCCATCACCAATATTGTGTTCCCACTTGTCTCCTTCTGCTACATGAAACGGATGTCCCCATCCATTGACCCGATCAAATTTGGGAATGATTCCGGCCGTTTCCCAATTGGTTTGAATCAATTCTTGTACGCGATTGTAATAGTCCATATTGGGTGTCGCCAAAAAGAATCCTCCATTGCTGGGTTCATTAATGCCGGCAATGACCACGTACGGTTTGAGTTGTGCACTGACGGGAATGTGCTTGTCGGGATGATATTCGGCATCGGACAATTCAAAGAGATAATCGAGATTGGTAATGGGAAGTAAATCGCCATCCAAGACGAGGACCCGACGGTATTCGATCATACTGTAGGTATGAAATTTGCGCAAATATTTGGTGTCCCTTCGCGAATTGAAATCGTACGGTGTTTCCATGGGCAAATAGCGAATTTTAATGCCCAGAGCATGCAGTAAGGCTTCATCTTGTGCGGGCAAGCGTTCGTCAATGACGATATTGTCGAATCGAAAAATAGCGACAATGTCGGCGGTGGAACCATGCGTTCGTAAGATTTTGGCCGTGAGTAGCATATTGGACAAGTAGGCGCGGTATTTGAAGGATTTGGTTGGATTCAATTTCCAATTCATCAACACATATGCGTAGGGAGAATTGGTTTCCGTGCTGGTCGGTGGTGGTGTCTTATTATTATTGGCCGTCGTGGGCATTAATGGTGGTTCTGGTGCTGGAGCTGTTATAGCTTGTGCCGTGTCTGGCAGAGGAAGGGTAAGTTGAGGTTGAGTAGTAGTAGTTCCAACTGGTGGAGTCTGTACTGATAGTTGCTGTTTCAATGCCTGAATGTCAGTTGTGTATTGCTGCTGTAAGGCTTCTAGTTGTTGCTTCAATTGAGCCACTTGCTCTTCGGATGACTGTGCTGTCTTTTGAGTGGCTTGAGCCGTTTCCTGCGATAGTTTGTCCAATTGCGCTTTGGTCTCTTGTTGAAGTTTCTCCCAGTCTCGCGTTTGCGTCGTACTGTGGTCTTGTAGTGCCTGTCGCTGTGTTTGGTCCGATTCTTGGTGGTCATTTTGCAGTTCTTTCAATTTCCCTTGTAGTTCTTGTAGTACCGTATCAGTTTCCGTCGGAGGAGTTTAGTTTGCGGTTGTGGCTGTTGTTGGTACACTGTAGTGCCTTGCGGATTGAAAATGGTCGTCACTTGGGTATTTTGAAACAGACTCCCCAGTAAAAAACACATTAGCGCTCCCGTTACCAATGCCATGCGACTCGTTCGGTTGTTGGTGCCAACCACCACACGAGGAGAAGACTCTACCAAAAGGTCGCGGGGACTAGCTGTACTACCAGGAGAAGTACCATAGGATGGTTTGCCATTGTGGTCCATTGTGGATCGATGGATGTGTTTTTTGCTTGATTTTTATTGTTGGGATGGCTAGTTTTAAAATTGATCGTTGTTTTTGTGGTCTGATCTGATTTCTCGTGGTCGTTGCCTGGTTAGATACGGTCATTGTGACTGTGACTTCATGTCAGTTGAAAACGGTACTGTACGGGAGTTCGCTCGAGATCGTGGTTGGGGAGAAGATTCAAGTAGGTTAAGCTGTCAAAGACATGAGAGGCGAACACCCACCTTGGGAGCAAAAGCTTACTGATGGCTTCCACAACTTGGTTAACATTGTTGACATCCAATGCCTTCTTCTTGATTGAGCATGTGTCAAGTCAACATGAGTTGTTACCTCTGGACTTAAAAAAAAAAAAAAAAACGAGTTGATCACCATTCTTTCTGAGCTTGGGCTCATTATGTTGGCCAGCGCACCTTACCTTCATGACAATCAGCTGCGCTATGTACAATTCCTTCTGGGGTTGGGCTCCTGACCTCAATGAAAGTGCTCAACCTTTCTGGCAACCACTTGATCGGCACGATCCAACTGAAGTTGGAAGCTGACATCAACATTGACTCTGCTGTTGCTTGACTGACAAGAATAACCTGACTGGAACACTTCCAAGCCAGCTGAAAGTCGACATGGGCTTCTTGAGACCTTATGGGCCGGGCCAAGCCCATTGGCCCCCATGTTGGTCCTCTACCACATTTTATCTCCCCTCGTCCCATGGTTTCACCTCTTCCATGCCTAAGCCTGGCCCTCGCCGGCTTGCGTAGATGACTGCCCTACTCTAAAACTCCCTTTGTTCCAATCCATGTTTTGCTTCTGCCTCTGCCAAAAAAACTCAGTTCTCATACTCTCAAATGATGTTCTTCCTGCATCCCCCATCTCTATTGCCCTACTAGTGAAAGCTACCCATTTATGGCTCCATGGATCCTGCAAAGCCAAAGCCCTTTGGCCCCCGTAATCGTCCTCAATTTCTTGCCCCTGATTCCACGGATCCTATTAGTAGTCCTGAATTTCAATTAAGCCAGCGGAGCTGTGTAACCTCGGCAGAAAGGTTTCAGTGCAGAAGCAGATACCCCTATAGCTAGCTAACTAGAAGCAGACACCTAGTGCTTAGCTAGTGCTTAACTTGTGCTTAGCTAGCTAGAAGCAAACCCCCCCTAGCTAGAAGCAGATTCCCATAGCAAGCTAGAAGCAGACACCCCTAGCTAGCTAGAATACTAGTTTTATAGCTTTCGCTGGCTTTAGAGTTTTTCCTGGTAGAAGCAGATCCCCCTACTATGATGGATGTAAATTGCTTTAGCTGGTTTGCACCATCCTAGCTAGGATACTTACTTAGTTTTTGCTGACTTATTTGTATTCTAACCCTACCCTTATACCTGCAGGGACCACCGTAGCAGGAAAAACAATTAAAGGGGTTGAGGGCTCTGGCAGCAAGACTGCCGAGGTAAAAGCCTCCATTGCTGGCTTCTGTAGATAATCCATCTACTCGAAACCGCGCGGAATTTGAAGGAACAGTCTGGAAAAGCTTGACTAGCTACGGTACAGCACAGCCTGCCACAACAGGAGTGACGAGTTGCGAACAGCAAAATCCTTTCTTTTTAAAAATAAAATTATTGTATTGTTGTCTCGAAGAAATGAATTCAACCACAACTTTGTTCACCGACGGGGTCGATCTCTCAAGTTGGTTGCTTGCTTGCACCATCCTCTCCTCCGGTTCAAAGATCAACACCCAACAGGACATAGTCCATCGTGACAACCATGGAAGCAAGCAGTGGATGCACCGGCAAGCGCAAGCGGGAGGACGACTCGGACGATCCAGCCTCCGCGATCATTGGTTTGATGGGCGGCTGCGGCGATGGACCGGCTCAAACCGTCATGGCGTATTTGGAGCAACGTGACCGTTTGTCGTTGTCCACAACCTGCAAGGCCATGTTAGCTGCAGTGGAAGCGTACTCTCAAGAGGCTCTGGAGCAGTTGATGAAAGAGCACACCGTGGATGAAAGTTTTGAAGTTCGAATCAATCAGCGCTTTGTGGACAAGACACCCGTGGACAAGACTCCTCCTTTCCGTTGCCTCATTGACGCTGTCCATAGCACGTATCTTTGTATCTTGAAGATGTTGCCAAGCGATAAACATATCAGAGGAGACATTGCTCTCTCCAACGATGGGAGTCGGCTTTGCGTGGTTGCAGTGAAGCCGCGTCCTTCACGTGAGGAACCTCAACCCCTGAAAATCTACGAATGGGATCTTGCCACAAAGAAATTGCTCCGAGCTCTTAAAATTGACACCCTTGACGATGAATATGACGTCCAAGGATTATGCTTTTTCAAGGAGAACGACTGTATTGTGGTTTGTACAGAGCAGAGTGTGCTGGTTTTGTCAACACCAGGAGACTCCGATGCCGAAGGAAAAACAAAGCTCCTGCAGGATTGTCGTCATCCCAACATTCGTGATGTTATACCGGTACAGATAAATGGCACCACCCTTCTCCTTGCAGGCTATGATGACGACGTCTATTCCTTCAACACAATTACAGGAGAAATGAACTTCATTGCAAGTTCACCAACGAGTGTCAAGTCTTCTTGACTGCTCGTTTCATGCGCTCTTCCACAACCGCTGGCTCATTGGACAGGTCGACGGTTTTACATCTACCATCGTCAATTTGGACTTGCAAAATGGCCTTGAGATTGTGGCTAGCCGTCATGTAGAATGGTGTTCTCCCATTATTGCTTGTTTGTTTGACGACTTGGACGGCGGGTGCGCGGGCAAAATCCATGTTGAGCAGCATGACACAATCGAAGCTTTGGTGGTCAATGCCGCCAATGGTCAGTTCCAAACGGTGGGCGAGTTCCGCGTGAGCTTGGACACAGAGAGAGGTTGCTGCCGTGGCATTGTTGGATCCGACGTAATTTTTCACGAAGGGGCTGTGAAGGAGAAGATGTATGTCAGTAAACCCTACCTCACTACGATAAACAAGACGAGTGGCTGCGTAACGCAGACTGGAGTTCCCTCCCAACCGCAGTATCACAGGCATGGTCCAATCCAACGGAAAAGAGATCTTTGTCCGGCTAACGCCAAAAGACCCGACAACGCCAAGCGGATTTGGAGTTGAATTGGCGGTGTATTCAGCCAAGTTTGGACGATTCTGAGCACCAAAGTGAACAGCAGATAAAGGGGCGTTTAGAGTAGGGAAGTGAAGAGCAGTGATGAAGGTACGACGTGCGTGAACATGCCCCGCCCAAAGAGATGCAATGTCGCAACCAGAAGATAAGCAGCCGTCTAGTGCAGTCGAGGGAAGCCTTTGACTAGGCAATGGAAAGGCATACAGATTACGATCGGAAATCAAATCGTGCCGGCATTTATAATCATGACAAGATAGGTCTGTTTCACTGCCAAAGGAGGTGGCTTCGGCTTCCGCGTCTTGTTATTGGATGTTTTGTTTGCTGCTGCTGTAGTCTTCGGAACGGAATCTGGATACAACGGCTTTGAATGCGTGAACACGTGCAAATACAACGATCTCTGCGAATTCAATCCATCTATCTTTCTAAAGAGGGCCCACGGCCCTCACGTGGATCCGGACGAGGCGGCATTAGCTATGGGAAGCGCATACGATACTTCCAGGAAGGTGCAGGTATCCAGTCCAGGCTAGGGGAGCGAGTTGCCGTGTCTTGTTTGCTCCTGTGGATTGGATTCTCCTTGTTGTTATGCCGAATCTTTGTCATTTTGGAAGAAACCAATTTGTTTTGTGACACCGTATGGTGCTAGCAAGTCTCCGGGCGCTTTTCTGGCTCATTTCTCTGTTTTCTCCTGCTCTTTCTTGCTATGATGCTGATTGTCGTTATGACTGTTGTCGTTGTTGTGCTGTTCGTGATCTTCTTCGGACAATCGATTTCGATGACTGAGAAAGGCATCCCATGCGATGCAACAAACATTAATGACAGGCGCTTGTGCAAAGACCGGGAGATAGCGAAAGGTTCCCAATAGAATGGGTGGCCAAGCAATGAGACTGGTCACCCACGAAGGAACGAATTGATCTCGCAGTTTGGCTTGAAACAGGTCTTGCCAAGAACTACTGCTGCTGGCGTCATGATGATGTTCCCATGCCGCCATGTATCCAAAAAAGGCGACAATACACGGTGGATCCATGAGGAATTCGTCTGCCACGACTTTCATGACGGGAGGTCCCCAGACGCCGTAGCGGGCCGCCATGCGGTAGTGAATGGCAACGCGATCGAGATACGGGTACCACACGGCAATGAGAGGGCCTGTAAAGCAAGCACCAAAACCCGCACATTGTGCCGTCCGTCGCATATCGTAGTGGGACAAAAATGACTCGTCATCATGATCCTTACTAGTACGGTTGTGATGATGACGAAATTCCGAGTACTGCGCCAATGCATCCCCGGCCACCCAGAGATTGAGACACAACAGACTGTTGCTCGCCACGGGATGATGCTCCATCCAATGCTGCAATCGACTCGAAACCCGTCGGGCCGAAGCCGATAGGCGACGGTACACATGTTGATACGTGCTGCTGCTGGAGCTCATGGTTCGTTGCACAAGTAAAAGTGTGCTGTGGAAGTGAAGGGTGTATGCTCTATGATAGTTTGAGCAAGTGGAAGTCTTGGGTTTGGTTGGCTGATCCAAGAAATTTTGAAGAAAAGTGAGGATCAGCTCAAAAAGACGTCAGAATTGACTCAGTCGAGTCATTCTCTTTCATGACGTCATGAGAGGTTAGGACTTTCTTTGGAAACCCCTTCTTTTTCGGACCAAAAGTTCGGAGGTCGGAGGTTGTGATAAGAGTGTCGAGTCAGAGACACGCAAACAGCTGAAACCGACTACTGCCCGCTTATTTATCGTAGAACTGGGGAGGTCAGAGTAGAAAAAGCGGATTATTACGGAAGCTTGAGCAAAGACCGTACAGAAAGACCTCTCGAAGCCCACCATCATACAGTGGTCCACTCTCAGACTAACCCGTAGTAGTAGCTTCCCACAGTACCATACCATACCACCCACAGCTCACGACGGTAACGCACCATGGACGACAACAGTGAAATCGATGTCAAGGAGAAGGGAGGACTGGATTCGTGGCTCGAACAAGTGCTCAACGCGTCGGCTGCAAGCAACCATGGCCGTTCTACTGGCAAGGACCCAAATCACAACAACAGCAGCAATGCCGGGAATCATCAAGACGACAAAGGGAAACATCGCAACAACAACAAGGCCAAAGTCCGTGACGAGAGCATCCAGCTACACGAAGATAATCCAAAGATTCGCCACGATGGTATTGTCGCCAAGAAGCCAGCTAGAGCAACCAGGAAGCCCCCACCAGCAGCGACTCTTCCGAGGCGTTACCAATACGACGACGACGATGACAGTGAACGCTCTTCCTCATCTCTACTGAAAGATATCTCCATAGCTCAAGGAGCCCAACTAGCAGAGCCAGAGCCAGACAAAGAAGAAGACAGCGGAGGCACAAACCATACCGCAGAAGAAGTTGCTGCCACCGGCGTGACTGCCTTGAGACGACAACACGCAACATCTGCCACTTCCACACCGGGAGCTTTCGCCACTGATCACACGGGATCTTTTCAGAATTCACCACTGACATTCTCCACACTCAACCCAATGTTGACTTCAACAATAACCACCAACAGCACGGCATCCACAGACACACAAATAGACACGCCAGTAGTAACCAATTCACTGGTTGTGGCCAATCCAGTCACAGACGATCCAAACACCTTGCCCATGGCCGAGGAAGTAGGCGTTCCGCACAATAGCAAGAAGCAAGGATCTCAACAATCATCGCACGAAAAAATTTGGCTGGCAGCCATCTTGACATTGATCCTTGTTGTAGCATTGGTCATTCTCCTCGTTGCATTGCTGGCAAACAACAACCCGGAAGAATCCAATGAAGACCCAATCAACAGCAACATTCATAATTCCACATTACGCCCAACAACAACCACAATCCTAACTTCTCTTTCCACCAGAGACTACCTCAAAAGTCTTCTGGCCAACTACACACTGGCTGCCTTGAACAATCCAGGATCACCCCAGTTCAAGGCATTTGAATGGTTTCTCCGGGATCCAGCTTTGGTGGAGAACCACACTGCTATTAGCAACACAACAAACCTTTATCCTCCATGGCAAATTCTACAAAGGATGGCTTTGGCCACCTTCTACTTCAGCACAGTGGGCAGTGAATGGTCTCGAAACAACGATTGGTTGAGTTATACTCATCACGAGTGTGACTGGTATGCATCAGATACAGTGCCATTTGAACTATTACGAAGGGATTTGAATGCAACCGAGTTTTATGTGTATTTCACAGAGCCAGCTTGTAACAGCAACGGAACCTACCAACACCTTCGGCTCTATTCCAACAATTTGCATGGATCACTGCCCAATGAAATTGGGTGGCTGTCATCACTCCGATCCATGATGATTCCATCCAATTCCATTGAGGGAACCATTCCTTCTTTGATTGGTCTACTACAGAAAATGGAATTGATGAACTGGATGTCCAACAAAGTAGCAGGCCCGATTCCTTCCGAGCTAGGGATGATGACCAATTTGATTGGAGTTGGCACCTATATCAACGATCATGACAGGGCAACTCCCCTCGGAACTGGCCAACCTTTCCAAGCTCAAAGAACTTACTGTAGGGGACAACCAGTACACTGGCACCATTCCAACAGAATATGCCAGACTGACCAACATGGTGTTGTTGGTATTACAGCAAAACCAATTGGAAGGTTCAATTCCATCAACACTAGAGTCCATGACAGCTCTGGTGCAGGCATTGTTGAATTCCAACATGTTTACGGGAACCATTCCTGCCTTTTTGGGACATGCTGGGAATTTTACTACACTGATGCTAGATGACAACCGGTTTCATGGTACGATTCCAACAGAACTGATGCAGCTACAGAACATGCAACTTTTGAGCGTTTCCAACAATGTAAGTTTGTTTGCAAGACTCTATGGCTGTTTCATCTCTTTCCCTCATTTTGAAACTCACCTCTCATGAAATGGATGTTGCAACAACCTGCAGGATATAAAGGGACCACTACCTAGTGAGATTGGACTCCTAAGTGGCATGGCAGTATTGGAGGCTGCCAATGCTTCTCTCAATGGGACAGTGCAACAGAACTGGAGAATTTGTCAGGGTTGACTTTCCTGGACTTGGCCAACAACCCATTAGTCTCTGGGAGTATTCCAGTGGGGCTGTGTGGAATACAAGCATTGAACTTTGACTGCTCCAAAGTTCTCTGTGGGTGCAATTGTACCTGCACTAATACTTGATCTATGAAAGCTGGAAAATGAGCATCAGGTCTTGTCATCTATCTAGCTAGTTCATGCGATTTATCTTATGCCCGCCAAAAGTGGAGCTTGGAGTAGCCTTTGGCCCCCACCACGACGCTAAGCAAGCAGAGCAATGTGGATAGTGTACACGTAAATGCTCCTTTCTTAGGAGGCTGGCTGCCACTGCAAGCTGGAGCTAGGCTTACCAGGGACCATTCACAATCGAGAGCCAATCAGTCTCCACTCATTGCTCTGAGCAGCCAACCAAAGGACGCCCCCCTTAGCTGAATAAGCCAGCGGAGCTGTGTAACCTCGGCAGAAAGGTTTCAGTGTAGAAGCAGATACCCCTATTAGAGTGATCTGCACTATAAGACCCGCTGCAGATTAAGACTATGGCAATATCCTTGGATTTGTACAGTAATTTCTATAGTAACAGGTACGGTACATAAGACCTAGGTAGCTACTACTACCGGTACTATGGAGTACATGCAGTAGCGAGGATAGACCCACTGTATTCACTGCTGGTAAGTCACTATCCATTGCTTTATAAGCCGTGTGGTGGTGAGTGTTGGCTGTGTCCATAGAGGAAGCAGTATAGGAGAGTCGAAGCAAGTGGCTGTCCAAGAGGAAGGAAGGAGTGACACAAGAGGTGCTTCGAACGATAGAGGTGCGTGCTTCGAACGATAGAGGTGCTTCGAACGATAGAGGTACCAGGTACGAAGTACATGTATGTATGGTATCCAAGAGGAAGAAGGAAGGTGCTTCAATAGTTTGCCTATCATGTGCTTCGGGCTACCTGTAGTTTTCGCTGGATAGAACCGGTAGCGGTACAGTGGGATCCTACGTAGATTCAGTACTAGAGGCTACGTGTGACGTCATATGGTCTTAATCTGCAGAGAAAAAGAATTCGCTGAGGATTGGCTGAAATCTTCAACCGCCCCTAACTCCTGTTCTAAGTACACTCCGAGGTTGGGAATTTTGTGGCATACTCAACTACATGTGTTCTCTCGATTCCCTGCTTTAATAGTACTAATTCGATATCCAGCCCTGAAGAGAATATTCCGCGGAACGGTCGGTCTTAATACCCAGATCACTCTACTAGTAGCTAGCTAGCTAGAAGCAGATACCAGTTTTGAGGGCTTTTTTTTCAGTGCGGTCGCGCTCGATGAAAAAATACGTTAGTGGAGAAAATAGCCGTTCGACTATATGTGGCACCATGGCGCGCCTTTATCACATAGCTACGCCAAGCTAGGAGCTTCACGTGCAATCAGCTGTCGCGAAGAGCCTCTGTGGGCTATTGACTGTGATGGACTTGACTGTTGTTGATGGTTGATGCCTACTCTATTGATGAGTCTGATGAGAGCGAATTGTAGGCATTTTTGTCACTGACTGTCACAGGATCGTCACTCCTCTCTGTTGTTGTGGTGTCTTCAGTTGGTGCCTCTGAATGGTCCAGCCGACGGAGGAATTTCTGCAGTTGATCCTGTGGAAGTCCTGCAACAAGTGACATGATCTTCATTCTCTCCAGTTCGAGCTCTCTGCCATATTCTGTGTCCGCCAAGTCAATGTTGGATGCAAGCGTTGCCTCCAATCGATTAATATCTTCTTGCTTTGGAAACTGCTGCGGAAGCGGAGCAACAACAACATCATTCAGCTCTTCAAACTTTGCCTTTCGAGCTCCAAGAGTTGACAGTTTCGATGGACAAGGCTTGCCAGTCTTCCCCGCAATCAAGTCTCTGTAATCATCGGATCGCATCTTCTTGTTCTCGTCTTCAAGGATTGTCATGGCCTTCTCTTGTCGGCTCCACGCTGCTTCGCGAAGCTTCTTTTCTGTCATTAACTCTTGCAATTCTTCCTTCAGCTTCACACGATGATCCTTGATTAAGAAGTCATCATCATTGATTGCTGCTCCGCCGGTGACTTGAAAGATTCCTCCATGAGTAGCGGCCTCTATGAGCTTCTCTTGCCGCTCCTTCGAGCGTGGAATTGTCACCTTGGCTTGTCTCTTCTCCACTGAGTAGGCAGGAAGCTTTGCTCGGAAGAGATTTCCATTGTACCCAGCATAGTCAAGGATATCGCAGCACATGCTATTCCTTTCCGCCATTTCCTTGAGATACGCGGCCTCCGGATCAACAGACACATCCGCAGCTCCATCAGAATCAACAACCAACTCATGTCGGATCTTCTTGTCAGCCAGCGCAGCTCGAGTAAACTTTGGATAGAGCCCAAGCTTGTTGCTCCAAGCATGCTTGATGGCATTATGGGAGAAGGCAATCGAAGCTGCATTCCAAAGCAAAGGAAAGGATGGATCCGTGCTGCGTCGAACTTCAGATCCATACACCAACAAACCAATATCATACTTGGTTAGAGTTGAGGGAACATCTTGATTGTTCTGTCGATACTCCCAAAGAATCTCCAAGTTATCGAAGTAAATGGTTTTGAAGAGGGCGAACAGCATATCAATGATTTGAAGGATGTGGGTAGTGTTTGGTGGTCCAGAGGGAAAGAGATAGATGCCGTGGCGACGCATCTCGGCCAACATATCTTTATTGGTTCTTCCGGGGCCACCATCCACAAGCAATAGCACCCTCTTGCCTGCAGTGTCGGCACAATCAACAATGACAAGAGGAAGAAAGTTTTTGGATGCCCACTTGCCAAATTCTTCTTTGTTCATACCACCCTTTTTGTTTGTGCTATAGGTGTTCTGAAATGGCTTCAACTCCTCATGGAGATATGATGCCTCTGTCTCATGCATATCGAGAACAAAGTCTGAGGAAAGCCCCATGTTCTCTTGTAAAATTGCATCGGTCGGTAGTTGATAGTGGTCCGGAAGCTTGTCACCAGAAGCAAAGCAACCAGCTAACAAGAGTGCACCGGAAGCTGTTTTTGCTTGCAGAGTGGACCGGTGCATCAGAAAGCCTTGGATTGAAGAACACTGCTTGTGGTTGACCACCTTTTGAGTTCTCAGTATCATCAAGACCAAGGCAGGTTTCATCAATATTGGCAATCCGTTTCCCTTGAGCTCGAGTCTACCAAATAAGCTTCTCATTAGCCTCGACGTTAACCTCATTCTTGTTGGCAAATCCATGATGAATTAGAAACTGCTTGAGTGAATCAAAATAGAGATTGATATTGGAGTACGTAGCCCACTTGTTGCGCCGTTGCTCCACTTGGTTTGGTTTTCCTTTGCCCATGACGTCTCCAAGTTCAGATTCTATCCGCTCAAAAAGATAGGGACCCTTGCGAACGTTTGGTCCTTCCTTCTTGTTAATGCAAGTGTTCACCATCCTGATCAAACGCTGTCGTACCAGCGTCTTCTTTCGAATTGATTGCTCAACTGTAACGAATGATTCAACTGCACCGCACAGAGCCTTGAAACAATGAAGCTTAATCCTGCCTTTGGGCCCCCGTCGGCGAGGAGATTTGCCAGCATCCCCTCTCTTTACACAATCTCGAATGGTTCTAGGACAAAGCTTGGGGGCAATCTTGGGGTGTTGTTGGTTCAACTCCTTGCATATCAGCTCGGCGGAGCGTAAAACGTAAGTGAATCCATCGGTTGGAGCTGCTTCCTTCTTGAGAATTTCTTCCTTCAATGTGAGCGCTGCTAGCTTGTACAGATCAGCGTATGCCTTGCGCTGTGTGGCTTGTTGCTCTCTCAATGCTGCTGCTTGTCGAACCGTCATTCTCGTTTTGGATCGCTTCAATTTCTGTTCGAGCTTCCTTTCTCCCACTGCTCTTGCTGCCTCGGAGATATCTGTTGGTTGTGTCACTGGATCTGGCTCTAGATAATTTGCCCTCACGACATCTGCATACGTTTCAAATGAATTTTGCTTGCGGTAGACGCGTCGACGGAGGGCTTGATTGTTTGCTTCTGGCGACGAAAATCCAACCATTTTCATTGCTTGACCCGTATGAACTCCACCCTTCTCGTCTAGCTTCAGTATACTTGCTGCCTTGCCTATCTCTAAGGGCGTCGACGGAGGCCGCTTTGGCGCCATCTTGACAGGATCGACAGACGAGACGATGCCATTCATTGTGCTGCTACTAATAACACGATCGTAACACGAGTTTATCTTCTTTATCCATTTATTAAAACTATCTAATGCTGTAGCAAGTAACTCTCTGTTAGGAGTGCAGGAGGCTCTGCTGCCCTCGTGAGATGAGCTCTTGATGATGGATGCGAAAAAAGACCACTTTGTGAGTGTTTTGCATCCATTTCCAAGAGACCTTCTCTGACCTGCCCCGTGTGACATGGAAGTTGAAAAAAGCCCTCTAAACTGGTACCCTAGTGCTTAGCTAGTGCTTAACTTGCACTTAGCTAGCTAGAAGCAGATTCCCCCTAGCTAGCTAGCTAGAAGCAGATTCCCATAGCAAGCTAGAAGCAGATACTCCTAGCTAGCTAGAATACTAGTTATATAGCTTTCGCTGGCTTTAGAGTTTTTCCTGGTAGAAGCAGATCCGCCTACTAGGATGCATGTAAATAGCTTTAGCACCATCCCAGGATACTTATTTAGTTTTTGCTGACTTATTTGTATTCTAACCCTACCCTTATACCTGCAGGGACCACTGTAGCAGGAAAAACAATTAAAGGGGTTGAGGGCTCTGGCAGCAAGACTGCCGAGGTAAATGAGCATCAGGTTTTATAATCTAGCTATGGTACTGTAGCTAGTTCATGCGATTAATCTTGTGCCAGACCAAAAGTGGAGCTATGCATAGATTTGATGGGTTGGACGGTCGCCACAGGCACACGCCTACGGCATCCACGCTGCCTCTGACTCGTCGCTCGACTAAGCCAGGTTTTCATGATAAACTGTTGGGGTGGTTCCGTGCGTGTTCCGTGTCTTGCACATTAGCGATAGCTGCGCGCCGCTTTGAAGTGAAAGGATCCAGCACCTCCATGCTCTGGCAAAGTGAAACCAGCCTCACAAAATCAACACCTTTTGCATTGCGCAACAAGGCGTCCGCCTTCCTAGCTAGTACGCTTGCGTTTCAACATGGATGTATATCCTCGTATCTCCGATATGAGCTATAGAGAGCTCCAGCGGGCATGCAAGGACGCTGGCTTGCCTGCCATTGGAAAAACTGCGGTGCTACAGAAGCACTTGGACGACTACAGGAAGAATCCGCGAAAGGCACTAAAAAGGTTGGCTGCTTCAAAGGAGAAGAACAAGACAGGATTCATTGACTGGGAAAACAGCGCAGCAAAAGAGATACTTTTAAAGGACCTGGAACCAGAAGGGCGGCTTTATGGTAACAGCTTAGAAGCAAAAGACGTATTTGATGACTACACAGAAAGATACAAGTATATTTTTTGTGACGTGCCTTTCTCGCAGTTTAAAGCAAAATATAATGAGACTATCAAGAAAGCTGAAGCTGCCCAAAGGAGAGCAAGATCAGCCCAGGAAGAAGCATGGATGAAACACGACAGTCGCCTTTACCCACGTCAAACGCACAACCATAGAGGTGAGCCTATATTTGACGTGGATATCGAGGCTAAGGAGACACTTCATTATGACATCAAACATGAGCTCCACAAAAGAATGACACCCAAGGAGCTCTGGCAGTATAGGGAGGTGTACTCAAAGTATAAGTTGGACACATTTCGACAGCGCATTTATCAGTACCAAAAACAAGTCAAGTGTTTGAACAAGCCCGAGAAGAAACCAAAGGAAAAGGATGAGTTTGCCGCCAAGAGGACTCCGAAGGAACGAAACCAAAAGGATGAGCTTGCCGCAAAGAGGACTCCAAAGGAACGAAAGGAAAGAGATGAGCTTGCCGCAAAGAGGACTCAGAAGGAAGTCACTTCCTCAAAGATGAAAGAGGGAAACAGGCAGCGCAAACAGTCAAGGAGCAAGAAACGCCACGGCGGGCCAATCCACCTCGGCTAAGGAGCTTGACGTTGGTGCACCTGTTTGCCAGGTAGACAGGAGACAGTGTCTGTCCTTCCTAGTAGAGTGGCACTTTAAAGAATAAAAGCCGCCCCACCAATTGAAGTGCGGATACGGTAAAGGTATACGATGTCAAGGGCATCAACGGTGACACGAGATTTTCAGGTGTTGTACTTCATGAGGCCGGCCCAAACCGCATACCATACCGTGCCGTTTACAGCCATAAATTTAAGACATTGCACTTTTTGGAAATCGTTTACCGTTTACCTAGACCAGTTTTGGTCACTATGTACCGGCATGGTGAGCTCATGGCAATGAATGCCGATGCTCAAGAGGAGGGTTTTCCTTGGCTTGATTCGCCTTGGTTTCCTCCGTCCTCCTTTGTCTCATCTGCTGAAGCTTTGAGTTGTAATTGTAATGGGAAAGTTACTATGGGTTAGAGAGAGCTATGAGGAGGATGGGGGCAGAGAGGGAGGCCAGGATGCAGGGGTCAGTCCATATCGAATTTGGAGGGAATATCAGAATTCCAGGGGAGAGAGGACGGTGTCATTCTCAGGCATGAGGGTGACAGAGAGCCATGCCCCAGTTGAACAAGCTAGTTGGGAGACCCTCACGACGGACTGCAGGGGCAGTAATTGTGCTGGGACTTCTCCTATCAGGCCTCAAAGTATGTTTACATCATCAAAACCCAACAACAACCCAAGACGATCCTTCATGGGACACACTGAAACAAGCACAAGATGCCATTGCATGGCATCATCTGTTAAAGGGGACAATCTCTAAACAATTCAGTCAGGAACAAGACCGATATTTGAACATGAAAAAGACCGCAACCAAACGCAACAATGGACTCACATAGCTCACTGGACTCATTGACATTATCTATAAAGAATGGTGGAAACTCTGGGACATGCGCAACCAAGACAGACATGGGCACGACATGAGAACCAAGTCATTGGCGCTGCTGCTGGTCGCTCGAGAACAAAAGGTCAGTTCCCATTCTTCTCACAACGTCTGACAATTGGTGCCATTTTCCAGTGCTGCTTGCAGCTGCTTCGAGCCTTTGTTAGAAGAGCGAATGGGCAGCCATTTCATGAGTCCGTTCCGTTCACTCTTCACCGGAAGATGGTACCCAAACAGTCTTTCGCTTCTTCTTCTGTATTGCATGTATCAGCAACAAGTCATACTAACCTTCCTTCTTTCTTTTTTCCGCCACTGTTGTCATTGGTGGTTGGTGCTTGATTCTCAAAATTTCAAGGGGGTTTCGAAACCGTTGCTCCTTCCTTCATGCATGGGGTTGGTTCGTCCTTGTGCGTGCTTTCGCCAGTGGGCTTCGTCTCGGGATTGAAAATCGTGACTAAGCTAGCCTTACACGTGCCAGTTGTTAATGAAATTAAAGATAGGTTGATGGGCACAGGCCTGAATAGGGCCTGTACAGTCCGTACGTCTGTACAGTCCGAGCGACAGCACTGCCATCGATACCAGTTATTGCCCCAAGACCCTAGTAGACGTCTGAGCGTCTGAGCGTCTGAGCACATATGCATATGTGCAGACAGATTACAGTTGCCGGTTTTAATGCACCGGTACCGGTACTGGATGTCACTTTTAGGAAATAGGAGCACTCTTTCTCTTGCCTTCTTTTACGGACCGGAAAGCCTGCTCCAAATCACCAAATAAATTTGCAACACAAGATTGCAGCTGCCACGCCGCACCAGAGGAAAAAACCACGTGTAACCCAACGCGCATTGCTCATCCTCCAGGCAACAGCTGAAGGAAAGCTATCTGCTCGATCACAGAAAGACAATACCATCCACAGCTCGAGAGGTACCGTAGCCAATTACGCGGTAGTTCGGTCCACAGAACATAAAAGGCTTGGTACAGAAAGTACAGCGTGACCTTCGTACCGACATCGGCCCACCGCTGTAGAGCTGTGGTACACTACCGCGGTAGAGGATCGTATTGGATTAGCCAATCAGAATGGTTGGATCTTTAAATTTCGATGACGTCAGTCGGCTGTGACGTCAGTCGTGCACACGATTCAATATTTCGCTTTCTCTGTGTCAGCTCGATCAGTCTCTCGTCGTGTTGTTTTCGTGTTGTTTTCGTGTTGTTTTCGAAAGACCGACGGAGCATGCATCCAGAGGATTTCGAATTTGAGCCAGATAGTGAAGCAAGACAATAAAACCGAGGTCATCCCTTCCGTATTCAGTAGCCGCAGAGGTACTTCGCAGAGGTGTACTTACCGCATTCAGTAGCCGCAGATTCAGTAGCCGCAGAGGTACTCCTCACCGCAGCCGAGGACATAGCCGCTTTCATCGCCATCCTCCGAAGACGATGAGTGCGAGTACGAAAGAGGCGCCGGCTGGTATCGACCACGGGACCTGTACTCCAGTGGACGGTTCCCCAAGGTGGACGACAACGGCAGGGTATTCTTGGCGGCTGTTGGCAAGATAGGACGTGCCTCTGTGAAAGCTAGGACTCCTCTAGTGGCGGGGA